GTATTGGATCCCATTTTTCTACAACCAATTTTCCAAATTCTCGATAAAATATTGTATCGTTAACCTTGGAATGCCAAACCATAACACTTTTTTTTTAAAAACACTGTTCACTCGCCGAAAAATAAAAAAGGTCATCAAAATCTGATGAAACTTGAATAAAAAAACTCGGAATAACCTCATGAGTAATCTGTCCAAAAGAAGCTTCGTCGAAAAAAATCACTGTAGCCGCCGGAAAATCGCAAATGATCGGAATAAAAAGAAAAAGGTATGGGTAGACTTAGAATTACTAGGCGATCAGACTGTTCAACAGAAAATTTTTCAAGATCTGACAAGAATAGGCCACACCCGCCGGCGCGTATGATGGACGCGCCGTCGGAAGCAGATCTCCGACAGGCACGTGGGGGCACATGGACGAGTATTTTTCGAAGAATCTTTCTGGGGTTTGGTCGGTACTCTCTTGGGAACCTTGTGGTGGTGTTGGATTTTGCATAATACTGATAAATAATGACTTTGACGCAATCAGTTACTTGGGTCACCGGAAAATTACATGGTGACTGAGTTCTTTCTTCCCGGATGTCGCTAGAATGACGCACAACGATCTTTTCTCACCGATGCTCTGATACCATATGAGAATGCACATGAGAAAAATCTATTATTGATATTCTATGTTACAATGAGCCGTATTTTTATGTGTGCATAACACATAACCTACTCTTATTACATAAGGGACTAGGACTAATTACATATATTCACATAAGGCTGAATACATTCGTGGACCCTTAAACTTGCCTCTTTTTTCCACCTAGACACTTCAACTGAATCTTATTCTGATTGAACACTTCAACTATGTTGAATGTGTGTCAATTGAACACATATTTTACATTTCTAAACTAAGTTCAGTGTGTGAGTTTCACTTACTATGAATAGCAAATTCGACAAATGAGTAAAAGGCACGTCAAAATAAAATAAAAATCTGGAAAAGAAATCAAAAACCTTCACTGGCAAAAAAAGAAACACTATCGGCCTAAATAATGTTTTCTTCGTTACCAAATCAGCAAAATTGATGAAAAATGTTTTCTTCATTACAACTGCGAGACAAATAGTACCGACTGAAAAAGGAAACAACACTGACTTTAAAAAAATAGTGTTGTATTGGAGAAATCGTAGCACGAGATCAAAATCAATGTCAGCGTTTAACGCAGGGCTTCAATCGATTTTATCTTCAAATGCCTCCTTCATCAATTTTTCCGAACTAGCCATTGCTGAACCGGTGGAGCGCCACCACCACCTCCGCTGCAAAATTTAATGAAGAAAATTACCAGTACTTCCGCCGGAATTTAAACCTTTGGAAAGGTGTAAATAGTTTACCTTGCTGTGATAAATGCTCTCACATGTCATAAGTTGAAACAACGGGTGGGTTAATCTTTGGGAGCAGATCTTGGTGGTGAATGTTCCTCAAGCGCCGGAACCGGCAGCATTCAACGGCATCGGAATTTCCCGATTTAAGCTTCAACGCGTGTTCCAAAGGTGCTAAAGTTTTCTCTAATACGATGCTTCACTATATAAGCTTCCCCATTTGATGATATGGATTTATTTGAGAATATGGATTTTACTCCTCCAGTGGCATTGTTAACATGACGTCATCTTGTTCATCTATCGGAGCTTATGAAGGAGAAAAATTGAAGTGAAGGTAAAAAGTGAACGAAAAATGGTGGAAGACGAAGTAGAACAAAAGTGACTGGAAAATTGAATCTTCCGACGATGCTTATATTTTTCGGCAAAACTATTTGTTGTAGCTTAAACGTAAAAAGAGAAAGAATATAAAGAAAATAATGGATTAACCGTTTTTTTAAATGTGAAGCGCTCACAGAGAGTGATAAATACACATTTTGCCATGTCAGCAAAATGTGTCTAATAGGTACATCTTTGAACTATTTTAAGTGTTTAATAGATACTACTTTGAGTTTAGATGTCTAAATAAAAAAAATGGGCAAGTTTAAGGGGCTGTGTATGTATTTGGCCTTCACATAACTATTCTAACAAGTTTGGACATATATGCCCCATCTTTGTAGTCGATCAACAGTGGCCAATCGACCCTGTAGTGCCAGCCAGAAGATGAACTTATGTTTTGGTGTAGTAGTTGGTCCCAACACTAGCCCTTCTCGTTGAACTTTTTGAAACCGTGGAAGAAAGAGCAAGTAAGCTTTTTTAATTCTAAACTTTCCTTTGTCACAACATCTATGTAATATCGCATTGTAGTCCATGTTCAGGAATCATTTCTTTGCATTCAATATATTCCTTACCAGCCAACATGCCTGAGTAGGAGTATTTAGTTGATGTAGTTCTTTCCCTTTGATGATAGAAGGCATGAATCCATTTTTATCCAGAGTGCATCTTTTTTGGTTGTTACAGCCCATAGTAGTTTACTGCTCTATTCCATGTATGAAACTGTATGAGATCCAGGCCACCTACTGAATGTTGTTTTGTACAATGTATCCCATGCCACTAAGGCTTTCCTTGAGCTCTCATGACCTCCTGTCTATAGGAAGATTCTGCAAACTCTGGTTATGAGTTGAATAACTTTTTTAGAAATTAGGAACATCTGATCCTAATAGGTTTGCATCTCAAATAACACATTTTTAATAAGTTGCACCCTTCCACTATATGATAATAACTTAGTGGACCAACACCTTATTCTTGCAACCATCCTCTCAAGCAGTGGTAGACATTGTTGAACTGTAATCTTCTTCGAGGATAATGGTACTCCCAAGTACTTGAAATGGATTTCTCCCTTTAAGAATTGCATTTCATTTGATAGTTGTTCCTTGAGTTATTGACTAATCCATGCCATATATAATGTACTTTTTTCCAAGTTTGCCTTAAGACCAGATACTGATGAGAAGTGATGGAACTGTTGAAGCATTCGCTTCCTAGATATTGGATCTGTTTTACAACATATTATTAGATCATCAATACATATATGGACTATCCTCATTTTGTTGCATCTTGGGTGGTAGTTAAAGTCTGAATTGTGTCTCAGTTGCTTGAGGGTTCTATTTAGATACTCCATCTCAAGAACAAACAAGTAGGGAGACAGGGTCTCCCTGCCTTAGACCTTTCTTAGCTTGAAATATGGGTGTAAGACCACCATTGAATAACAAAGAATAGCTCACTATGCTGACATACTCCATAATTAGGTTTACAAACTTCCCAGGCAACCCATATTCTAGAAGGACCATTATGAGAAAACTCCACTCCACTGAGTCATAGGTTTCTTAATGTCCACCTTTACTAGACATCTAAAGGATACTCATTTTTATGTATACCCCTTAACCATTTCATGTGCCACAATCACATCATCTAGAATATTTCTCTCCTCAATTAATGCTGATTGTGAAGGCCTCACTAAGTAGTCAACTATCAGTTTTAACCTAGCAGTTATGACTTTAGCTATCAATTTATCTAATGTAGTGCAGCAGGCTATGAGCCCGAATTCCTTCACAAAAGTGGGGTTTGTTTCTTTAGGAACTAAAGTCACAATAGTGCAATTTACTTCCTTAAGCAGTTTGCCAGTTTCAAAAAACTATATTGTAGCCTTAGTCACCTCCTCCCCTATCAAATGCCAATACTGTTTGAAGAATTCAGCTGGGAATCCATCAATGCCAAGAGCCTTATCAACTGAGAGGTCTTTCAAAGCCTAAAACACTTATGTTTCTGTGACTTCATGTACTAGGGTCATCTGTTGTTCATTAATGAGACAAGGTCCATCTCTTGCTATGGTTGGATCTAGGCATGGCATTTATGCGGCAACTATTCCTAGTAGGTTATGAAAGAAGCCTATGAACTCTTTTTGGATGAGAGCTGGTTCATGTAGTTGGATCCCTTTGCAAATAGAAGAAATTCTATTTCTGACTTGATTAGCCTTCAGTGCTGCACGAAAAAAATCTTGTGTTTGAGTCTCTGTAAGCTAGCCATGTTGCTCTAGATTTCTGTCGAAACACTCTTTCATGTATAGTTGTCCACTTTTCCTATTGTATCAAAGTGTCCTTTTTAGTTATGATGAGTTGTTCATTGAATAGATTTGCACTCAGTTCCATTTGTGTATGGTGCAACTTATCTTTCAGCTTACTGAGTTTTCTCTCCAATATTGACATTTCTCTATTCATTTGAGAGGTTTCCAATTCTATCAACTTGAGTTTCCTCCAAATTGCGTACATGGTATGTCCTTGTATGCTGTCCCCAAGCTGTGTGAACTGCCTCCTTGAAGTTCTCCCGAGCCAGAATTACATTGAGCATTCAAAATGGCCTAAGCAGTTTCTGTTTGGCCACCTCTGTTCTGATAATGATTGGTGAGTGATCTGAACATTCCGAATTATGGTATTTTTAATTATGCTTAAATTATGTTCAACACAAAAATTCTTTTAAAGGAAAAAAGACTCATTTTTTTTCTAACTAAAGTTTAATTCTTTAGAATATTTTTAATTTATTGTATATAATTTTAACATCGCATGGTACAAAAATTTATTCCACGATGAAAATATTTTTTCGAACAAAGACCAATTTGTCAAGAAAGTGGTATTTTTATTGTTAGTAAGAATTTCAATGGTTGAGCTATGAAACATATTGTATTACAATGAGTTTTTATAATTAATATTTGAAACATGTGTAATGATGTAAATTTTATAAAAAGCTAAAGCAAAAGAAATTTTGTACTCCATTTCATATTTCACCCTAAGAAGATACATGCATACATTAAAATTAAAGTTCAAATGTTTACCAACCAACTTTCTCTTATTTTTTGCTTTCCAAGTTTACAATTCCTATCATTTGAAAGCTAAAAAATCCAGAATTATTGGATTAAGGACGAGCTCAAATCCCAAAAGGGTTAGGTTAGTCAATTAACACAGAACAAAGACATTTCATGCACGTCCATCAAAGAAATCAATAAAATAATTATTATTAATTTTAAAAAAAATAAAATCACAAAGGTTTCCCGTACATCCAACCGCACCAGATCCAACTCAATAGTCTTCTCCGCTTCTCGGAGTAAAACACAGAAAGAGTGATACACCACTTTCTCCCGATTTCTCCTCTTAATTCCTTTAACTCAAATATCTTATTATTCCCCTGATCCAACCCATTCACTTCGTTTCAACTTATTGACCATTCTCACCTCCTTCTTCTCCATTCCCTTTTTCCTCTGCAAATTCAAATCTTCTCTGTCAAAATTCACCATTTGATCTTCACTTCCACGCCGTGAACATCATGTAAAACTGTAATTAACTATTTTCTCTTCGAGTAATTCAATTATTTAAGCAATGATAGAACAGTGAGACGCGAAATTTAAGAGGATCCACGCGATTGGGATTGCCGCCGGCCGCGGCGAAATGGATGCTTCACCGGCGAAGTTTCTATTCGGATTCCTCTTTGCTTCCATAATACTATGGAGTATTTTCGTGTAAGTCAATCTCAGTCAAACTACTACTGATTATCAGTTGACTGTTGCTATGTTATGTATATAGCTTGTGTTGTTTATAATGTAATAGAATTGATTGATCTGATATGTGCAATATGTTGTTTTGTTGAATTGTACAATGGAAATGAGGTGACATGATTTGTCTCAACCGCACTTTATAGGTTCTGTTTGAACTAGCATTTTTGGCTTTAACAGATTAGAGTAAGCAATTTCTTATTCTTCATGTTTTTCTATATTAGGAAAACAAAAGAATATGAAAGCATAAGCTACTATTCACATATGTCTAAGCCTTGGTGGGCAGAATTACCTGGTGCTTGTGCTGGTGGAAGGTAGCAAGTACACGATGGAATAGTCGAGTTGCGCGTAAGCTGGCCCATACACCACCGTTATAAAAAAAACAAAGAAGAGAATATCTTATGTGAAAGTATGATAATTAGTTGATGGTGAAGCCTTTGATCCATTTCCAGCATCTCCAGCTAAAAAATAAGATTAGGAAATGGACGAAATTAACAGTTTGCTTGAATTACTCTACAGGAAAAATCTAATTCATAGAACTGAGATAGAGAGGGCCATATGGGGAGGACAGAAGGATGATTGTCACAGTGTATTATTTCTATAAAATATATGGATTTTCCTCACTCCTCTTACGAGTCTCCAGAGCACAAAAGAAAGTGTTTTTTTATTTATTTATTTAAATTTTCTTATTTACATGGACAGCAATATGGGGAGCTACCTGAATAATGGAAAATCTGAGAAGAAAAATGAAAATTCACATTAGTTGGTGCTTCATGTTTAACTATTTGGGGAGGGGGGGGGGGGGAGAGGACGTCAATTAACTTATGCTTTCCTTCCAATTACGTATAGGGTTGTATAGATGAGCCGGAGACTCTGGTGTTGGGTAGGCTTGAAACTTATAAGGAATATGTGGAGAAGCAGAGCATGAGAAGTAATTCCTCTAGTGCTCATGCAAACATATGGATAGAGAGAAATAAGAGTCTCTGAAGAAGTGGAAAATCACTATTGTACATGTCAGTCAGAACCTTTAAAAAAATATTTTTTGCAGCATATTTGATAACCTCATCAAGATAAGTGGATGCTCTTTATGGAGAGTTACATCTTCTCGTAAGTATTCTCTGGTTTGTGTATGCCTTGTATTTTGTGGTTTAACCAATCACATCAATGAATCATTGACTTCATAACCTCCCCCCAAAATAATCACATGTTGCAATGATATAATTATCTTCCTTGCTTGGCTTGGTGCATAATATGATACCTATTTATATCATTGACTATGATTGAGAAGCAATATTTTGTAAATCAAGCCATTTCTCTTACTATGAGCATTTAGAAGTCTAGTCCATTAAGTTTGCTAAGACAAAATAATGTCTAGTTCTGTATACAGAGTTGGTACGTAAAGTTGAGAATTTGGATTTAATCTCAATTT